GACACCTCCTGAATAGTCCCTTAGATATCTGTATGCACATAATCCAAAATGTCCTTAGTTATGTGTTTCCCTGTCTGAAACTTCACACATGATTATTTGCCAAAGACATAATGTTTGCACAAACCTTATACTGCAGTATTTAAAATATTTTAACTGACCCCGTTTGTAAACACAGACATCCCACTCTCACTCAAATGTCCTAACCTGATATGCCAAACATCGCATCAAAATTATCAGTTCCAGAAAGAGTAGATACTCCATCTACGACAGTGTTTCCAATCAATTTGTAGATGTTCCCGGCCTCCCTCACACTTTTCATTACTGTCAATACCCTTTTTGTCACCCGCAAGCTATCATCATCATTACGGTATGAAAAACAAATAGCATGCAACGATCCCATTGAAATCAGATTCTTTTTCAACTCAGGCACATGCTTAACATCACATATTGTCCTAACAAAACACCATCAAACATTTTTAATTTGATATGTCCCTTGCCAACTACATCACACATTTTATAATTTCCAAGATAAATATAACCAAAATTACGGAATGTATATGACTGTAACTAATCCTTATTAGGCGTCATATGAAAAAAGCATCCTGAGTCTAATATTCAGCAATCCGCAGCCTTATCTGTGGAAACATATAACATATCTTCATTGCTGAAATCCGAATCATTCCTTTTGGACTGAATTGACAGATTGGGAAGGACCCCCATTATGCCCAACATGACCGAGCTGTCGCCACTTATAGCAATGAACGTTCTTTCTGTTCCTTGATTTTGATCGATTATTTTTTCTTCTTCCGCCACTGATTCCAAAACCACTTTAACCATTTCTGCCCTGCTTCCTTCCTCGATTAATATTGTCCCACACATACAAACCTTCATTCTGGATGTTTTCAGAACTTGCCTGTCGACGCTCATTATGAGCAAGTAAAGCAATTGTTGTTGTATCCAGAGTAATCGTATCATTTTCTGATTGTAAGTGCCAATCTCTGTTGTTCATAGGAGAACGGCAGATAGTAGAGGAGAATCATAGCCCAATCCTCATCCTCAATTTTCACTCCGATCCGATGCAGATCAGAAACTACTTGATGGAACGAGTTGATGTGTTGCACCAGACCAGTTCCCTTCTGCATTTTCATCCTATATAACCGTTGTTTCAGATGTAGTTTGTGGGTCAATGACTTTGACATGTACTGATTTTCCAATTTCTCCTAGATCTCGATCGGCGACTCAAGATCCAACACATGGTACATAACGTCATTGCCCAGACATAGCTTGATCGTCGCAGCAGCCTTCACGCGCATCTCGATCCATTCAGCCTCTTTCATCCCTTTTGGTTTTCCCGATATCATTGTATTCGACATCCCTTGTTGTGCTAGCAAATCCTTCACCCTACGCTGCCATAATGCGAAGTTTCCTGTTCCATCGAACTTCTCCATATCAAATCTCACCATAGAACCCATGGCTCTAATACCAATTGTTGAAGTACCTTGAAAGATTAATTGACTAACACACGCAACAATAAATCAAAGATAAGAATACGAGATTTACAAGGTTCGGCCAAGATTGCCTACGTCCTCGGGTGTGTGCCGTTTCTATTGCCCGTGAATTATTTCTTGTCGTACAATACACAAAATTCAACCAATCCATAACTACAAAAAGAACCCTACACATCCTGGATCATTTGTCCCGCTCCGTACTGCGGGGGCTCCGCCCCTGCACTTCCGGATCTGTCGGGCTTCGCCCAACCCAATTCCCACCCCCAACACACTTGGGTCAGCCCCATCGATGTTGAGCCAATTTCAACAAAACTCGAAGTCGTGCAACGGCTCTACCGCCGAAGCCGCTCCTCAATCCGACGACGGACAGGCTCTGTGGAGTGCTATCGAGACGCACATAGCTTGATTCATGGTGCTTCACATTTAGAAGAGGCTCGAAGCCCTTTCGGAAAAATCTAGGTTGAAGCCTCACGAAAATTCGCTTTGGTTCCAACACCTTGCTCTCATAATTTTCATTGTCATTGTTGTTTTGTTATGAAATACTACAATGATTTAGAATCATTACTATCTTTGTTATTTTGTAAAAAAAAAATAATACTTCCCTCGTCCAACTATAAAGTATGCATATTTTCATTTTGGGATGTCCAATTACAAAGTAATCATTTAATTAAATGCCTCATTTTTTTTTTACAAATACTCTTACTTTACATCACATCATTATTTTACACCAAAAAGTAACAACAAAAATGTAATTATACTACTTTCAACTACCCATTATAATTAAAATACTATTATTTCTTAAACTCCGCGCCAAAAGTAAATATTTACTTTGTAACCGGACGGATGGAGTAATAAAAATAAAATGAAGAATTTTTTACATATAATAAGGGTTTTAAATTATATTTGATAGATAAAAATGCAAATAAAATATTATTTTGAGGGTAACATAGAAAGTTCACGGGTGAAAATCTATAAAATTTATAAATGGAGAATTGTGAGTAATAAACATGGAATTAAAATGAATGGATGGGTTAACAAAAAAATATGGTTTTAGAATTAGAAATTTTAGGAGAATTAAACGATATTATGTATATATTAACTTATCATATGATATATTTTATATTTGAGAAGAATGTGACTTTCACTTTAATATATATCGATATATATCACTTTATTATTATTATTATTTTTATCTTCAATTATTTAGTGTTTTTTTTTTAATGTCTTTTTTATCCATCTAAATACATATAATATTTTAAATTATGTTGTTTAATATTATGACAAAGAAAACAAGAATAATTCAATGAAAATGATTCAAAGTCGAAAAAAAATTTAAAGCCAAATTTTGAAAAGAAAGAGGCAAAGAAAAAAAGGTGGCAAAAAATAGATGAAAAAATATGTAACAATATTATACTATAATTTTTAGTTTTTATATTGTATTGTATATACATATATTGATATAATTTTATTCTTCCAGTATATTTTATATGGATAATATCGTTTGTTCCTCGAGTTATTTCTATATTAGTTTGTATTTTAATAATAAAATAAAAAAAAAATTATTTATTTTTATTTATAATATTAATGATAGTTAATGATTTAATTTTTTCTAACAGCTATCTACAACCGTCTATTATACAACCGTCTATTATGAATTATTTGAAATATAACAAAATTATATTGTATAGAGCTTTTAGGTTTTTTTTTTTTTTTTTTTCAATTTCTCATTTATTTATTTAATATGTATATTTGATATGCACTGAAGCTAATATATATATATATATATATCTTTACTTTTACATGTATTCTACATATCTTTCTTTAACAAAGAAAGTAAAATTAATACATATATATTTTTAAAATTTATCATTATAAATTATTTGAATTTTTTTCTTTTTTTTTTTTTTCCCATATTCGAAGTAAACAAGTAAAAAACTTACATTAATACATGCAATAAGGTGAAAATAGTAGATTATGTATATATTAGATAATATAATTGTTTATATTTGTTTTCTAATTAAAAATATTTCTAATATATTTTGTATTAAATTTATGTTTGTTTATTTTACTGTATATTAATACTACTAATTTATTAATATGTTTATATTTATTTAAATATAATGATATTTGATTTAAAATTAAAATTTATTTAGAAATTAATTGAATATATAAATAGTAATATACAATTTTTAATTAAGATAATTTTTAAATATAAATTAAAAATAATAAATTAATTTATTAAATTATTTTTTAAAAATTAGTATTTAATAAAATGAGGGACATGATAGACTTTTCAAGTGGCAGATCCGTACAATCTCGTCGTTTATTGAATACTCATTTTCGAACCCGTCATTAGCAGTTCGGGCTATACTCAGGTCGGGTGGACTATGACATAATGTGTACCAAAGTCGGGTCAACGTTACATCGGGGGAAACAGGAAGTCGGCCAGACGCGGAGGGATGTCAAGATGAAGGTCGGGGTTAGGGTTTAGGGTCGTTGTAATGCAGTCGGGACCGAGGTCGGTGGAGAAGGTCGGTTGAGATGGAGGTCGGACAGTCAGATCACGACTTGAATAAGTCAGCCACGTAATACAAAGGTAGGTTAAGGGCAAAATTGTCATTTTCGAAATGAGGGACATGATAGACTTTTCAAGTGGCAGATCCGTATAAACCAATACAAAGGTAGGTTAAGGGCAAAATTGTCATTTTCGAAATGAGGGACATGATAGACTTTTCAAGTGGCAGATCCGTACAATCTTTTTCGAACCCGTCATTAGCAGTTCGGGCTATACTCAGGTCGGGTGGACTATGACATAATGTGTACCAAAGTCGGGTCAACGTTACATCGGGGGAAACAGGAAGTCGGACAGACGCGGAGGGATGTCAAGATGAAGGTCGGGGTTAGGGTTTAGGGTCGTTGTAATGCAGTGTGGACCGAGGTCGGTGGAGAAGGTCGGTTGAGATGGAGGTCGGACAGTCAGATCACGACTTGAATAAGTCAGCCACGTAATACAAAGGTAGGTTAAGGGCAAAATTGTCATTTTCGAAATGAGGGACATGATAGACTTTTTTCAAGTGGCAGATCCGTATAAACCAATACAAGGGTAGGTTAAGGGCAAAATCCAGCAGTTCGGAGATACTGATCCAGCATATCAACAAAGATTGCTTAGCATATCAATAAGTATTGTTTATACCACAGTGGAGAAACCAGCGGGAAAAAACAAACAATATGTATACCATCCTCCCTTGTACCAGTTAATGCATCAAATCTAGCATTTCATATATGTTAACCCATCATATCAACAAGTATTGCTTTACATATCACAGTGGAACAATTAGCAGGCCAAATAAACCATGAACTCGGCGTATTCAAAGTACATATTTCAAACTGGATGACAAAATCTAACCTTTGCAGATCGAACTTTTTGAGGGCTGAAGAGCTTTGCAACATCTTCCAATGTTATTTTTCGCTTGAGATGACATGAAAAATAGCGCACACCGCATTTCTCGTTGTGGAACTTATCAAAAAACAAATGCTGAAAAAAAAAATAGCATATTACACAATGAGAACAATAAAACAGAAAAGAAAACAAAGTGATCACGATATTTTTATTTACCATTAAGCAATGCATGTCCCCGGATGGCCTTCCACTGACCAAAGCTTTTTTCTTGAATTTTTTAGACATTGTATCCAGACCCTCTACAATCTTATCCTGAATAAAACCAGCCCAATTAAACTCATTTGCCAACTCCTTCGACTCAAGGAACTGGAATATGCGATGATTAATCTTTGCATTTGATATGGGCGTAAGCAAGACACACATGCAATACATTATGTATATCCGCCAAAAATTAACATCACTCCTTAGTCTACTACTATCTAGTAACTCCTTTAACGAAGACTCAACTATATGTTTTTTATCCGTTCCTATGAGTTTCATATCTAAACTGAATTTATCAGCAAAATTGTAAAAAGAATCAGACTCGTACAATGAAATAGGTTCCTTATTTTTGCCATATGGCAGCCCATAGACAACACCAACATCCCGATCGGTAATATACCACTTATTCCCATTAGATAGATGAAAGCACTCGCTATCAGGGTCCCAATAACTCAATAATTTCATGATAGGAGCCACGGGAATAGCCATTGGCTTCACATGGAACAATCCTTTGAAAGGGCTAGTTTAAATATACCTTCGAATCGAATCTCGATAAGGTTTCTGTAAAGATTCATTGAGGTGGGCGACCCTCCTCGGAACGCAAGGCAGTTGAATGATAGGATCATTTGACATCGTTGATTCTTTAGAAGAGTTGCGATTAATGGGACCAGGGCTTCGCGAATTCAAACTAGAGCTTTTCCAAAACTACAACAACAAGAACAACGATTTCACTTGGGTAACATGGAAGGAGAGAAACATTTAATGAACGATTAAACTTTCAATACTTACCGAATCTTGGGAGCAACCGCTGATGATGAAATCAAGAACCCCAAGCGCGTCTGTGTTGTCGATTAGGAACGAGGCAGCGGGTTGAAGAAGTTGAAGACGAAGAATTGAAGTTGCAAACAGATAGATTGATAACAATGTAGGATCGAGAGAACGAGTTTGATGAAGAATGAGAGTTTGATGAAGAATGCGTATCAAAGAAGAATGCGGGAGATAGATTGGTTTGTCGCTATGAAGGATTGGTACGAATAGAAGAAGTATAAACCCTTATACCCTTATGCTGAAATTACCATTTAGCCCCTGTTTAATCTCAACCATTAAAATCAAATCTATTATGATGTGTGACTCATATTTTATCAGCATGGTGCTGATGGTACACCTATCAGCACCGGATCCGTACCCTGAGAAAATATATATTGTATTAATACTAGAAGAGGATTTGAAAGATCGCCCAAGACATGCCCGGTAGTTGCAGCCTGCAAAAATCACATTTCCCATGAGAACCGAAAAGGACTATAGTATAAAAACGAGACACAAGACTAAGTGAAAACCGACTAAACATACAGCTGCTTCTTTATTTGCCATTACTACAAGTGTTGATCCTTTCTTCTTGGTACTCTTGATGACTACATCCTCGACAGTACCAAATTTCTCAAATATTTCCCGAAGTTCCTGTGCAGTGTAATCCCCACCCGTCTTCTCCCACGAAACTTTAAGAATCTTTTGCTTATCCAATGCATTGCCTCCGCTATTCTTGTTATCTTTTTCCCTTTCTGGTCTGTCTTCCTTGGACTGTGCTGTAGCAGTTGGCATTTTCTTAGCATGCATTGCCCGGATTCTAGCTATCTCATCCTTGAGTTTACGAGATATCCTCTCTTCCTCCTCTTTAGCTTTCAAGTTGGGATCGACTTGAGTGAAAGCAGATCGCTCCCTTTCTTCAAGATCTTACATCATTTTTCGGCGCTTTGAATCTTGTTGTCCTTGTCGAAGAAGCTTCTCCCTTTTCACTCTGAGTAGATCATCAAATAGCTTCCTAGCCTTTTCATCTTTGAGAACTTCATATGAAGTTTTAAGCTTTAGAAAATCAGCATGTGCATTGGGATCATCAGGCCTCTTGTCTGGATGCAGTTCCCTGGCCTTTGATCAATATGCTTTATTTATTTCTTGTTCTGAAAGCTTGGAACCTTCCTCACCAGATGGCAGCCCCAAAACATCATAATGGTCGCATTCAACCTCCATTCCTCAACTGGAAAAATAACAAAGTATATAATGAATCTTAAAAGGTACACAGAAATTAAACGAGGAATTGGTTTTGCAAGGCAGCAGATGCTGTGTATGAATAAAATGAGCAGAACCTTCATGAATTTTGAAATCAAGAAAACCACAAAGATATAAAAGAAAGGAGAAGAAGTTAATCTTCTTCTCTGAAAACTAGTGGAATGGCACCATCCATTGCAATAGATTTGGATTAAGCACCCAAATTCATAATGGACACACGTACATAATTCAGAGTTAAACATGATACATACTACGAACATATAAAATGATGCTAACAAAGTGTAACGAAATTTGAAACAGAAATTGCCAATTTGGCTGAGTTATTGGATCACACAACAAAAGCATTCTCTCATATATAGCCATCGCATCATTCAGTTTTAAGGAGAATAGAGGCTTGGTATCTCTAGTCAAACAATGAAATCTAAAGTAATAAAACAAGCAAGATTCCAGTACATTCCAAGACAAACTGGCACCAAAGTACTAAACAGAATTAGAAGCAAGAAACAAAGAGAATATATAAACTGAAACCAAAAAGGGTTTAGGTAAACTATATGGAGCCCTAGAACAGTTAATACAATTCTAAAAACACCATTGTTGAACTCAGTAGAGAGATCATTGAAGATATATAAATATATATATGTGTGTGTATATAAGTGAGACCTGGTGACTGCTGGGGTTTTGCAATTTGCAGGATGCACTAAGAATAAGAATATGAGATAATTCTATCAAGTATCAGATCTACTAGTTAGTTTTTTAATGTGTTTGTGAAAAATGTTCGACCAATAGTCAGCAATTCAAAGCGTTAAACCAAAATTGTGATCTAGACTATGGCGGAAATTGAGTAAATAGAAAACAATGAATTGTATGCAATTGATATGATTTGAATACAAGAACTCAAATTCCCAGTCTACAGAATCAAAGTAATGCATCCTATATTACTGCAACACATATTGATCATCTCCTTCGATCCACATGCACAAATATTCGTTTTTCAATTAATGAAGCAACACAATAAAAATCCCTTTTCTTTCTTTTCAAACAAATATTCAGATACATTTTGGGCGTGATGTCGGGTGATGAATTAACAGTTATCGAGAATGATGAAGAAATACAAGTATGAACTACAATCTCTTCCAAACATGATGTTGATTCTTACAAAAACAAACCAAGTAATACCATAGAAGCATGTTTTCTCCAACAACTTCGTATTCCTCACACATACAAAAAAAAAAAAAAAAAAAAAAAAAGACAACCAGGAACATCGTCAAAACCTAAGTCCCAACCAGTTTAAAATCCATATCTACTGCGCCATAATCCTCCAACAATCCATAAAACCCAAAAGAGACAACTACAAATCATTTTCGTTACAAATTCTCGACAATCAAGTTTTCTCCAAGTAAAATGGAAAACCTTGCCCAATTATAAATAAGGGTTTCCTTCGATCCAATTAACATCATTTTTACGACCTCAGCGGTGCCTCTACCTTTCATGGCATACAAACTTCGCTCCCCAGTCAAGTTAAATTTCAAATCTCTTTCAAATTGAGAACAATTCGATTATTAATTACCTTGGAGATGCTCTTGCCGAAGTGCAGGTGGAGGAACGCCGGTATCGCTTAGACCAACAGCTCACCGGAATCGCACCGACTTTGTGACGGAGTGGTACGGGCTATGGCCGGAGGGAGTGTTGAGGGAAGAAGAGTTGGGGAAGAAAAAAAGGAATTCGAGGGACAAACGAAGGAAAAAGGCAGGATTCCGACTGTTTAATTTAGGTATGTCTCTTTTTATGTAGTTTCGAAAAAATTTGATTTGAATTTTCTATTAAGGGTGTGTTTGTTTGGGGACTGGATTTTGAGTCGGGTTTAATGAGGTGGGGCAAGGAGGTCAGACGTGATACGGTCGGGAACGGAAGTCAGAGCTTAAAAGTCGGACACTCAGATCACGACTTGAAAAAGTCAGGCACGTAAGTCGGACATTAGAAGGTCGGACAATAAAATGAGGGACAGGATGGACTTTTCAAGTGGCAGATCCGTACAATCTCGTCGCTTATTGAATACTCATTTTCGAACCCGTCATTAGCAGTTCGGGCTATACTCAGGTCGGGTGAACTATGACATAATGTGTACCAAAGTCGGGTCAACGTTACATCGGGGGAAACAAGAAGTCGGACAGACGCGGAGGGATGTCAAGATGAAGGTCGGGGTTAGGGTTTAGGGTCGTTGTAATGCAGTGTGGACCGAGGTCGGTGGAGAAGGTCGGTTGAGATGGAGGTCGGACAGTCAGATCACGACTTGAATAAGTCAGCCACGTAATACAAAGGTAGGTTAAGGGCAAAATTGTCATTTTCGAAATGAGGGACATGATAGACTTTTCAAGTGGCAGATCCGTATAAACCAATACAAAGGTAGGTTAAGGGCAAAATTGTCATTTTCGAAATGAGGGACATGATAGACTTTTCAAGTGGCAGATCCGTACAATCTTTTTCGAACCCGTCATTAGCAGTTCGGGCTATACTCAGGTCGGGTGGACTATGACATAATGTGTAACTGAACTCCTCTATCATCATTGTCTCACAAAGAACTTTCAGAGCCTTTATTTAATCCAACTCACGAACTGTACGGAACAGCCAATTAAAACATGGCTATGTTTCTCGTGTCAAACTTCTTAAGTCGGTTATTGAGCATTAGGGATTGTAGAACTTTATAGACCAGTTATTGTGCGATAACGGTTAACTGAGATTTGATTGTGACTTGCTAGTCGATCAGATTGGCATTATGTGACTTGTTAGCAGATTGGCCTACTGCCATTCACTCTGAAATCCAACAAAAATAGACTATCTTCCATTTTTATGATAACGGAACATTCAAATTCTTTTACATGTCTCTCGCTAGATGACAAGAATTAGACTATCCGCTGTTTGGGTTTATCTCCATAACTTTTTAGCTTTTTACATTATTTTCTTACTCTGCTACGTACAAAAGTAGAAATACTCTTCTTTATTTTATACTAACCAAAAAAAAATTCATTTCAAATCTATTTATATATTTTTGTTTTCACATCATTATTTATATATATATATATTATTTTTTAAAAATTTATAATTTTTTTTTAAATATATAATTAATCAATAATAAATAAGTATTATTTTTTTGTCAAACCTTTATTTCTTAATAATTTATTAAAATAATAATTAGTATTTGTGTTGTATTCGATGTTATTAAAATTCAGTTTGTATTTTGTTTGATATTAGTGTTTTATTATTGATGTTGTATTAAAATATCTATAAACTAAATATATTTTATTTTTTAGTATACTTATATTATTTATATATCATGTTAAAAATTTATGATTGTATTTTATTCACTAATACAAATTAAAATTTTTTAATGTTGATTCAATTAATAAAATCAGTTCATATTTATATTTATATATTTAAAAATTTTATTTGTGTTGTATTCTATAGAACTAAAATTCAGCTTGTATTTTATTTGATATTAGTGTTTTTTATTATTTATTTTCGATTAAAATTTATCTATGAACTAAATATAATTTATTTTTTAGTACTCTCTCCGTTTTATATATTTTGCCCACATACGAAAATTCAGGTAAAGTATAATTAGTAAATAATTAAAAAATGTATTAGTAAAAATAATTATTGTATAATAAAAATAATTATAAATTAAGATTAAGATAATTAAATAGTTTAATTAAGATTAATAAAATTATAAATTAATTTAAAAAAGTGTATAATTATATTTTTTAAAAAAAGACAAATTATGTAGGACGAACAAAAATAGAAAAAATGGACGTTTTATATGAGAGAGAGGGAATATAATTTTATATTATATATATTGTGGAAAAAATTGTGATTATATTTTATTCACAAATACAAATCAAGTGTTTTTTGATAGAAACAAAATAAAACTTCGAATTGGGAGGGCGATCCTCCCGAAAAGAAAAATAAAACGATATCAATCGTTCGTCCAAGAAAAATCAAACGGTATAAACCGTTAGCCCAAACCCTGACGGCTATTTTATTACCAAAATTCTAGAATAGTCTCAAACCCTAGTTACTCCTCAATGCTATTACCTGAACCCTACTTACTAAAAATAAAATATATTCATCTAATAATTAAAGGGGAAGCCCAATTCAAAATATAGTTTCAAACCCGTCGTCAATACACAAGCATATGTCGAGACTCCTTTTTCTCTTTAATCTCAACTTCATACACTTTTGCGATTTTGCTTTCTATCATTTTTAATGTTGATTTAATTAATAAAATCAATTCATATTTAAGTCGGTGTTGATATTGTTAAAGAATTAACTAGATCATTTATGTCGCTGACAGTAACTGTATCATTCATGATTGTTAGGTATTGAGGTTGTTGCACAGTAGACTTAATAATAGCTCATTTATTGAGCTGAGACAATACATAAATCATAATCTTGAAAAATGCCATGGAAGGTAACTCTACATCAGCTAACTGAAAGGCTTGTTTTAGATAAATCTACGTTACTCCCAATGCTAATGCTTGGATGTGAATTGACATAATTACCGGTGATGCGTTTGTTCATATTCTTTGTATTTTGATACGATAGTTTATGATGGGTCTACGTTGGACATATCGAATGACCAGTTTTGGCATTATATAATCTTTCATAATGATCTATTAGGGATCTGAAATGTGAACATGATTTTTTACTCAGTTACACATTCAAAGAAAGGTATGGTAAAACGTCAAGTTCTTGCTACTGTTTCCAGTGTTTTGTATGGACTTTGGAACTTAAGCATTGGTTATTATCATGATTTTGTGTTGATTCTTTGGTTAAGATAATTCCAGGGGTTATAAATTACCAACCACCTACTAAAGATGATATTCCAGCAATGATTACTATTCCATCATTAATTATTTTCTGTTTTCTTGTCTAACTGATGAGAGCACTGGAAAATTGCTATATAATGTGGAGTGTTGGGGTGGGTATATTTCCTGAAGCCAGAGGTACTTCACCACAAGCATACCCCCTGGTTAGTCTCCTTTGACTTTTCATTTCATTTCCTTCCGTTCCAAATCCTTCTTGTTATTTGTGTGTTTGTTTGAGGATTTGGATTTTGAATTGTTTGAACTAATATAAATAGGTGTTAATTTTATGTTTTGAATAAAAATTTTTATTTTTTGTATAATAATTAAAAAAATAAAAAATTGTTTGATTTTATATTTTTGGAGAAAAATAAATAAATTAGATAGTGAAATTTTTTGAAAAACCACAAAAGAAGGCAATTAAACGATTTGTCTTTAGATTTCGTCCTGGAAACATGTGATTGTTGATGGCTTAGCCGCCTTCAGATTCAAATCTCTGGCAGTCCTCAATTAATTTATTTGTTTTATCAAAATTTTCATTTAAGTATAATAGGTGTTTTTCATGTTATTTAATTGTTTTAGCAAAATTTTCATTGAGGTTTACTGTTTTGGCCGGTGGTTTTGTTTTTTCAGGTATTGTTATACTGGGCTACTCTGGTTTATTATTTTTCCTGACCATTTTAGATCTAATAGCTGCACACTTATTTTATCATTTTGTTTTCTTACTATTTTTTTTCTCATTTTCTGGAAGCAGCAGTATGGGTGGTCCACGGGATGTAGTGGACGATTGCAAGTTCTTCCATGCTATAGATCGGGAACTGTACACCTTCCTCGTAAGGGATCTTTCCAGGGATCCCTTAGAATGTCTCAACATTATGGGACTCTGGATGTGGTTTGAGCGTGGAGCTGTAGACGATGTTGTAAGCAAGATCTTTCACTCTCACCTGAAGTTCTTGATCGACTTGTTGATGAGGCCGAGGCATGCCTCAAAGTCCTCAGAACCTCGCTCCGGTTACATCCCAAACCAGTGGATATTCCACTTACTTGCACCCTCCTAAGATCACCTATATATATGCAGATGTTCTGTGAGAATCGGGATACCATTTCCCAGGAAGTGTATAAACTGGCAAACCGCATATACCTTCCGGCGCTGATTGATCTCAAGCAGAGAGCCTGCAGTGGTGAATTTGGAACAAGCTCTGGAGAGTCTCTTGCATTTCAGAGATTGTCTTGGTTGACTTCTGGCAAAGACCTGTCCTTCTGTCTTGAAAACGAGATGGGAGCATTTTCAAGGACAATGTTTGTGATATTTGCTGAGGGCTTCCCCGTGGCTGAGCCTGAAATCTGTGGGTTCTTCACTTCATTGTTTGGGAACTGCATTGAGTCTCTGCACATGAATGATCCAGGGCCTGGACGCGAACCTGTGTATGCTCGGATATGCTTCTGCAGCTCTTCATATGTCCACAGAATTCTTAAGTGGGAGATTGTGGCGAAGTTGGTGATCAATGGTAAGAGTGTCTGGATGAGGCCGTATGTATCGCGGATTGGATGGAAGCTGAAGCTCTGTGCTCCCTCAAGTACCGACTTGCTCACCCGGAAGTAGTTTTGAAGACAGGAGTGGATGTTTTTTGATCTTAATGTCCTCTGGCGGTTTCTGTGATCAGTGCGGTGATTTATTGTAAGGGAAGTGGCTGATTTAGGGCTTGAATGGTGTCACTGCAGTCTGCAAATGGAAAAAAGAAAAAGAAATATTAAAAGTTCAAGAAAATTATTGCCTTAGTTGCAACCTAATAATTACTGCCCTTCTTGTTGACAGCAAGGTTTTTGACATCTGTCCCTACAAATGAGAATATGGTTTCCCTCTTTATTATAATTATAGTAATAATTATTATTAATAATATAAATGTTATTCTACTTTATTAATTGACTTTGAGGTCCCTAACTTAATAAGAATTGGGAATGCGTAGGGGCTGTTAGATATTAGAAAATTTCCTCAAAAAAGATATGGAAGGATGTGGGATGAAGTTACCAACCTGCACCCAGCATTTTTGGTATGGCCGCTTGAAGGCATGTCTCGTTTTATATATTTTTAGCATGTTGAATCAAATTATACATGAAAGAAATGCAAAGGTTTTTTTGTATAAATTATACATGGATTGGCAGTTTCTTTGCATAAATTGCTCTATGGTGGAATTCTTGTTTTGTTGGATGAAATGAAGTTATTTTATCTTATGGAATAATTTTGAACTGAACTTTAGTCTATTCTTAATTATAAATTCTCTCTACCTATGAGGAACATTTGGGATAATAATTACTCTATTGCTGTGGCAGACATATACATGACCCTAACAGCTGACAAGTGGCAAATTTAATTGAAGTGATGGCATACATATTCTAACTGGATATTCACAGTTACACGAACAATTGGTAACGGTTTCATATCTGTAGAGAACTGAACTCTTGTGGCATTAACATGTAATAAAGGAATTTTTAAGTATAACCTTTGACTCATGGATTGTACGGACTAGGAGTAGATCTACAGTTAAATTATTCGAGCTGTGCACAGTAAGCCCTTTTTTATGATTGACCAGTAACATTGATAAAACTTATAGTACATTCATTGCACTAAAATCAATAATGTATCATAATTACGCCGCACGTGGATAGGTAGGCTGGTCGGTAATCTTTACTTTTTAGGGAATTACCGGTTGCTTTTGACTTTGATAAGACTTAAAAGATAATGTTGGGTTGCATTTAATGATGAAAGAAATATCGCTAGTACATGTCTCGCCAAATGGTAAGAATCTCGTTAGGAAACTATAACGATAAAAACAGAATTAACCGTTCATTGTAGCAGTTTCTTACTCGTGAGTGATGGCATTATTTGAACGCATCTACATCTGTTTCACAGGGAAGCTGGGATATGAGCCAATAGAAGAATTGTCCTGAGGGTGCATTTGCATCATAATTGTGTTTACCGGATCCGTACCCTGAGAAAATATATATTGTATTAATATATATATATACACTGTATTTTTAAATAATATTTATGAAAAATAAAAAATATTAAATGAACAAACTCATTATTTTTTACTCTGAATTTAGGGGTGGGCACAGTTCGGATATTTGCAAATATGCAGGTATTTTATATCCGAATCGAACTGAACAAATATCCGAAACCGCGAACCGTATTCAAACCGAATATTTTGGTTAACCGAAAATATTTGCAATATTTGCAAATAAATCGAACCGAACCGAACCGAAATTAAAAAATAATATATAAAAAAATAATTAAAATTATAATTAAATCAAAATATTTGCAAATATTTCAAATATCCGAACCGAAACCGAATATATTTATTTATATAAATTTTAAAATATAATAATATAAATATACAAATATATTAACCGAACCGAAAAAAATATCAAAAATCGAAACTGAACCCAACAAATATCAAATATACAGCATTTGTATTCGAACCGAATTTGTTCAATTAACCGAAAATTCGATTCGGTTCGGCTCTGTTCAGCAATTCGGCGGTTCGGTCCAGTATTTTGGCCCACCCCTAATGAACCACCGATGAACTAACTTATTGGCCAGCAAGCATCAAACTATATACAAATGTGTACCAAAGTTTATATCTGTTCTTTGGCAAGATAGATCATCACATTTGCAAGACAAGCCAAGACAATTGGTGATCATGAAAGAAATACTGAAATAAAGTTTTAAGAGTATGGAGAAGCTGTTACTTTACAAAAGGATCTACCTTAATAACATTACAAGAGAGGACAAGATTGAATTAACTCTGAATCTGTTCCTCGACAAGGTTTTGCAAACAGTCATCCTTGTCCAATTTCGACTGCAAAAATTTAAGGTAATATTTAGAACAGACATTGATTGCCTGACTTTTTCAAGTCGTGATCTGAGTGTCCGACCTTTAAGCTCTGACTTCCGTTCCCGACCGTATCACGTCTGACCTCCTTGCCCCACCTCATTAAACCCGACTCAAAATCCAGTCCCCAAACAAACACACCCTTAATAGAAAATTCAAATCAAATTTTTTCGAAACTACATAAAAAGAGACATACCTAAATTAAACAGTCGGAATCCTGCCTTTTTCCTTCGTTTGTCCCTCGAATTCCTTTTTTTCTTCCCCAACTCTTCTTCCCTCAACACTCCCTCCGGCCATAGCCCGTACCACTCCGTCACAAAGTCGGTGCGATTCCGATGAGCTGTTGGTCTAAGCGATACCGGCGTTCCTCCACCTGCACTTCGGCAAGAGCATCTCCAAGGTAATTAATAATCGAATTGTTCTCAATGTGAAAGAGATTTGAAATTTAACTTGACTGGGGAGCGAAGTTTGTATGCCATGAAAGGTAGAGGGTTTTATTAACACCGCTGAGGTCGTAAAAATGATGTTAATTGGATCGAAGGAAACCCTTATTTATAATTGGGCAAGGTTTTCCATTTTACTTGGAGAAAACTTGATTGTCGAGAATTTGTAACGAAAATGATTTGTAGTTGTCTCTTTTGGGTTTTATGGATTGTTGGAGGATTATGGCGCAGTAGATATGGATTTTGAACTGGTTGGGACTCAGGTTTTGACGATGTTCCTGGTTGTCTTTTTTTTTTTACGTGCCTGACTTTTTCAAGTCGTGATCTGAGTGTCCGACCTTTAAGCTCTGACTTCCGTTCCCGACCGTATCACGTCTGACCTCCTTGCCCCACCTCATTAAACCCGACTCAAAATCCAGTCCCCAAACAAACACACCCTTAATAGAAAATTCAAATCAAATTTTTTCGAAACTACATAAAAAGAGACATACCTAAATTAAACAGTCGGAATCCTGCCTTTTTCCTTCGTTTGTCCCTCGAATTCCTTTTTTTCTTGCCCAACTCTTCTTCCCTCAACACTCCCTCTGGCCATAGCCCGTACCACTCCGTCACAAAGTCGGTGCGATTCCGGTGAGCTGTTGGTCTAAGCGATACCGGCGTTCCTCCACCTGCACTTCGGCAAGAGCATCTCCAAGGTAATTAATAATCGAATTGTTCTCAATGTGAAAGAGATTTGAAATTTAACTTGACTGGGGAGCGAAGTTTGTATGCCATGAAAGGTAGAGGGTTTTATTAACACCGCTGAGGTCGTAAAAATGATGTTAATTGGATCGAAGGAAACCCTTATTTATAATTGGGCAAGGTTTTCCATTTTACTTGGAGAAAACTTGATTGTCGAGAATTTGTAACGAAAATGATTTGTAGTTGTCTCTTTTGGGTTTTATGGATTGTTGGAGGATTATGGCGCAGTAGATATGGATTTTGAACTGGTTGGGACTTAGGTTTTGACGATGTTCCTGATTGTCTTTTTTTTTTTACGTGCCTGACTTTTTCAAGTCGTGATCTGAGTGTCCGACCTTTAAGCTCTGACTTCCGTTCCCGACCGTATCACGTCTGACCTCCTTGCCCCACCTCATTAAACCCGACTCAAAATCCAGTCCCCAAACAAACACACCCTTAATAGAAAATTCAAATCAAATTTTTTCGAAACTACATAAAAAGAGACATACCTAAATTAAACAGTCGGAATTGTGCCTTTTTCCTTCGTTTGTCCCTCGAATTCCTTTTTTTCTTCCCCAACTCTTCTTCCCTCAACACTCCCTCCGGCCATAGCCCGTACCACTCCGTCACAAAGTCGGTGCGATTCCGGTGAGCTGTTGGTCTAAGCGATACCGGCGTTCCTCCACCTGCACTTCGGCAAGAGCATCTCCAAGGTAATTAATAATCGAATTGTTCTCAATTTGAAAGAGATTTGAAATTTAACTTGACTGGGGAGCGAAGTTTGTATGCCATGAAAGGTAGAGGGTTTTATTAACACCGCTGAGGTCGTAAAAATGATGTTAATTGGATCGAAGGAAACCCTTATTTATAATTGGGCAAGGTTTTCCATTTTACTTGGAGAAAACTTGATTGTCGAGAATTTGTAACGAAAATGATTTGTAGTTGTCTCTTTTGGGTTTTATGGATTGTTGGAGGATTATGGCGCAGTAGATATGGATTTTGAACTGGTTGGGACTTAGGTTTTGACGATGTTCCTCGTTGTCTTTTTTTTTTTAATTTTTTTTTTGTATGTGTGAGGAATACGAAGTTGTTGGAGAAAACATGCTTCTATGGTATTACTTGGTTTGTTTTTGTAAGAATCAACATCATGTTTGGAAGAGATTGTAGTTCATACTTGTATTTCTTCATCATTCTCGATAACTGTTAATTCATCACCCGACATCACGCCCAAAATGTATCTGAATATTTGTTTGAAAAGAAAGAAAAGGGATTTTTATTGTGTTGCTTCATTAATTGAAAAGCGAATATTTGTGCATGTGGATCGAAGGAGATGATCAATATGTGTTGCAGTAATATAGGATGCATTACTTTGATTCTGTAGACTGGGAATCTGAGTTCTTGTATTCAAATCATATCAATTGCATACAATTCATTGTTTTCTATTTACTCAATTTCCGCCATAGTCTAGATCTCAATTTTGGTTTAACGCTTTGAATTTCTGACTAGTGGTCGAACATTTTTCACAAACACATTAAAAAACTAACTAGTAGATCTGATACTTGATAGAATTATCTCATATTCTTATTCTTAGTGCATCCTGCAAATTGCAAAACCCCAGCAGTCACCAGGTCTCACTTATATACACACATATATATATATATTTATATATCTTCCCTGATCTCTCTACTGAGTTCAACAATGGTGTTTTTATAATTGTATTAACTGTTCTAGGGCTCCATATAGTTTACCTAAACCCTTTTTGGTTTCAGTTTATATATTCTCTTTGTTTCTTGTTTCTAATTCTGTTTAATACTTTGGTGCCAGCTTGTCTTGGAATGTACTGGAATCTTGCTTGTTTTATTACTTTAGATTTCATTGTTTGACTAGAGATACCAAGCCTCTATTCTCCTTAAAACTGAATGATGCGATGGCTATATATGAGAGAATGCTTTTGTTGTGTGATCCTATAACTCGGCCAAATTGGCAATTTCTGTTTCAAATTTCGTTACACTTTGTTAGCATCATTTTATATGTTCGTAGTATGTATCATGTTTCACTCTGAGTAGATCATCAAATAGCTTCCTAGCCTTTTCATCTTTGAGAACTTCATACGAAGTTTTAAGCTTTAGAAAATCAGCATGTGCATTGGGAATGTCAAGATGAAGGTCAGGGTTAGGGTTTAGGGTCGTTGTAATGCAGTCAGGACCGAGGTCGGTGGAGAAGGTCGGTTGAGATTGAGGTCGGACAGTCAGATCACGACTTGAATAAGTCAGCCACGTAATACAAAGGTAGGTTAAGGACAAAATTGTCATTTTCGAAATGAGGGACATGATAGACTTTTCAAGTGGCAGATCCGTACAATCTTTTTCGAACCCGTCATTAGCAGTTCGGGCTATACTCAGGTCGGGTGGACTATGACATAATGTGTACCAAAGTCGGGTCAACGTTACATCGGGGGAAACAGGAAGTCGGACAGACACGGAGGGATGTCAAGATGAAGGTCGGGGTTAGGGTTTAGGGTCGTTGTAATGCAGTCGGGACCGAGGTCGGTGGAGAAGGTCGGTTGAGATGGAGGTCGGACAGTCAGATCACGACTTGAATAAGTCAGCCACGTAATACAAAGGTAGGTTAAGGGCAAAATTGTCATTTTTGAAATGAGGGACATGATAGACTTTTCAAGTGGCAGATCCGTATAAACCAATACAAAGGTAGGTTAAGGGCAAAATCCAACAGTTCGGAGATACTGATCCAGCATATCAACAAAGATTGCTTAGCATATCAATAAGTATTGTTTATACCACAGTGGAGAAACCAGCGGGAAAAAACAAACAATATGTATACCATCCTCCCCTGTACCAGTTAATGCATCAAATCTAGCATTTCAGATATGTTAACCCATCATATCAACAAGTATTGCTTTACATATCACAGTGGAACAATTAGCAGGCCAAATAAACCATGAACTCGGCCTATTCAAAGTACATATTTGAAACTGGATGACAAAATCTAACCTTTGCAGATCGAACTTTTTGAGGGCCGAAGAGCTTTGCAACATCTTCCAATGTTATTTTTCGCTTGAGATGACATGAAAAATAGTGCACACCGCATTTCTCGTTGTGGAACTTATCAAAAAACATATGCTGAAAATAAAAAAAAATAGCATATTACACAATGAGAACAATAAAACAGAAAAGAAAACAAAGTGATCACGATATTTTTATTTACCATTAAGCAATGCATGTCCCCGGATGGCCTTCCACTGACCAAAGCTTTTTTCTTGAATTTTGTAGACATTGTATCCAGACCCTCTACAATCTTATCCTGAATAAAACCAGCCCAATTAAACTCATTTGCCAACTCCTTCGACTCAAGGAACTGGAATATGCGATGATTAATCTTTGCATTTGATATGGGCGTAAGCAAGACACACATGCAATACATTATGTATATCCGCCAAAAATTAACATCACTCCTTAGTCTACTACTATCTAGTAACTCCTTTAACGAAGACTCAACTATATGTTTTTTATCCGTTCCTATGAGTTTCATATCTAAACTGAATTTATCAGCAAAATTGTAAAAAGAATCAGACTCGTACAATGAAATAGGTTCCTTATTTTTGCCATATGGATCAGACTCGTACAATGAAATAGGTTCCTTATTTTTGCCATATGGCAGCCCATAGACAACACCAACATCCCGTTCGGTAATATACCACTTATTCCCATTAGATAGATGAAAGCACTCGCTATCAGGGTTCCAATAACTCAATAATTTCATGATAGGAGCCACGGGAATAGCCATTGGCTTCACATGGAACAATCCTTTGAAATGGCTAGTTTAAATATACCTTCGAATCGAATCTCGATAAGGTTTCTGTAAAGATTCATTGAGGTGGGCGACCTTCCTCGGAACGCAAGGCAGTTGAATGATAGGATCATTTGACATTGTTGATTCTTTAGAAGAGTTGCGATTAATGGGACCAGGGCTTCGCGAATTCAAAGTAGAGCTTTTCCAAAACTACAACAACAAGAACAACGATTTCACTTGGGTAACATGGAAGGAGAGAAACATTTAATGAACGATTAAACTTTCAATACTTACCGAATCTTGGGAGCAACCGCTGATGATGAAATCAAGAACCCCAAGCGCGTCTGTGTTGTCGATTAGGAACGAGGCAGCAGGTTGAAGAAGTTGAAGACGAAGAATTGAAGTTGCAAACAGATAGATTGATGACAATGTAGGATCGAGAGAACGAGTTTGATGAAGAATGAGAGTTTGATGAAGAATGCGTATCAAAGAAGAATGCGGGAGATAGATTGGTTTGTCGCTATGAAGGATTGGTACGAATAGAAGAAGTATAAACCCTTATACCCTTATGCTGAAATTACCATCTAGCCCCTGTTTAATCTCAACCATTAAAATCAAATCTATTATGATGTGTGACTCATATTTTATCAGCATCTGATGGTACACCTATCAGCACCGGATCCGTACCCTGAGAAAATATATATTGTATTAATATATATACACTGTATTTTTAAATAATATTTATGAAAAATAAAAAATATTAAATGAACAAACTCATTATTTTTTACTCTGAATTATAGGGGTGGGCACAGTTCCGATATTTGCAAATATGCAGGTATTTTATATCCGAATCGAACTGAACAAATATCCGAAACCGCGAACCGTATTCAAACCGAATATTTTGGTTAACCGAAAATATTTGCAATATTTGCAAATAAATCGAACCGAACCGAAATTAAAAAATAATTAAAATTATAATTAAACCCGTGCTCCAACGGCTCGAACCGAATGGTGACATCGGCAAACTGCCCCGCCCCGCCGGATTGCTTCTTGTGAATGTACTTCACTTCTGTCACCTTGGAAATGCTCTCCCGGTAGTTCACTTGGGGCGCTCCCACATTGGCTTCAACCTTTAAGCAAATTGTGAAAGATTAGGTTATCAACATTGATTTGATTTACACAGATGTCTGAGCAAGATGAGGGAAGTTTACAGACCTTAAACTCTCTCTTGAGTCGATCAACGATGATTTCGAGGTGCAATTCTCCCATTCCTTCAATGACTGTTTGGTTGATCTCTTCGTCCCGCGAGAAATGGAAAGATGGATCTTCCTGCGCCAGCTTGTACAAGCCAACGGCCATCTTATCAACATCAGCCTTAGTCTTTGGCTCGATCGTGACCTTAATAACCGGATCCGGGAAGTCCATCCGCTCGAGAACAATGGGGTTCTCAGCATCACAGAGTGTTTCTCCTGTGATTGTGTCCTTTAGCCCTGCAAGAGCTATAATGTCTCCCGTTAGAGCCAACTTAATATCCTCTCGGCTGTTGGCGTGCATTTCTAGCAGCCGTCCGATCCTTTCCTTCTTCCCTTTGTTCGAATTCATCACATAAGAGCCGGCTTCGAGCTTCCCAGAATACACACGCACGAATGTAAGAGAACCAACAAAAGGATCATTCATGATCTTGAATGCCAGTCCGGCAAAGGGCTCGTCATCGCTGGCGCTCCTCTCGATCACCACCTGCGGGTCGTCGGGATCAGTTCCTTACATTGGAGGCAATTCGATCGGAGAGGGGAGGTAATCGACAACAGCGTCGAGCAATGGCTGGACCCCTTTGTTCTTAAAAGCTGAGCCGCATAAAACAGGGACAAAGCTGCCGGAGATAGTCCCCTGCCTGATCAACCTCTTGATGGTGGCCTCATCAGGCTCCTCTCCTTCCAGGTAGCTTTCCATGGCTGCATCGTCGAGTTCGACTATGGTCTCGATCATGTTGGCCCGGTACTCCTCGGCTAGGCCTCGGAGATCGGCGGGGATATCCTCGTACTTGAATTTGGCTCCGAGCTCCTCCCCTGTCCAAATGACGGCCTGCATTGTGACGAGGTCAACGAGTCCTGTAAAAGTGTCCTCTGCGCCGATGGGGATTTGGAGGACGAGAAGCTTGGCGCCGAGGTTAGTGACGATCATGTCGCGTGTACGGAAGAAGTTAGCGCCGAGACGGTCCATTTTGTTGACGAAACAGATGCGGGGGACGCCGTACTTGTCGGCCTGGCGCCAGACGGTTTCGGACTGGGGCTCGACGCCGGCGACGCTGTCGAAGAGGCAAATGGCGCCGTCAAGAACTCGGAGGGCGCGCTCGACTTCGAGGGTGAAATCGACGTGGCCGGGAGTGTCGATGATGTTGATCCGGTGCTTGTTCCAGAAGGTGGTGGTGGCGGCGGAGGTGATGGTGATCCCTCTCTCTTGCTCCTGCTCCATCCAGTCCATGGTGGCGGTGCCCTCGTGCACCTCCCCGATTTTGTAGTTCCGGCCGGTGTAGTACAGGATGCGCTCCGTCGCCGTCGTCTTCCCGGCGTCTATGTGCGCCATTATTCCGATGTTCCGGTAGTCCCTCAGTGGCACTTTCCTCTTCTCTTCTGCTGGAGAAACACCAAAACATCAATTGTATTTGGATTTTGATGGAGATGGACAAAATTATATCTTTTACATATATATATATATATATATACACCTGCTGCGGCAGCCATGGCGAAGACAGAGAGATTCCTTCTCGGGTGTTTGGGATGAGGCAACTTTGCGGGGGTGGAGGCAATTCCGAGGAAAGGAGAGCGTGGTGCGACTCCATTACGACGTCGTGCTGATTGGGAGGGGGAGGTGGAAGGTAATGGCCTCCTGGAAGTACCGTGCAAGCTGCTGAATAACTGATGATAGCCAATTGATGACGACGACGATGACATTCTCATCAACGGCTCTGCCGCCATTTTTGTTGGGCACTCGGTCTGCTCTGGTCTGGCTCTGCTTTTCTATTGGCTTATTGATAGATACTGCTATTATTACATGATGGGTTCTTTATTTTTTTGTGGCAGGAAAGCATCTTGAAATTTTGTAGATAACATTAATTTGAATATTGCATTTTTCCCATTGATCAATCCATCCAATTTGGAGAAATTTTCAGGCACTCAGAAGTCGCCACGTCGACAGGAAACTCGAGCCTCAGAAAAGGCAAGTGGGCTTCCACTTAAACAGTTAGACAACAGGTACGTAGCCATTTCCATTATCACAAGCCTTTTACAAAGATTCATATATATACAGTTCTTGTAATTTTAATACAGCTAGTTAGGTTTTATAGAAACATTAAATACTGTGCTTGTATTTAAACCAACGTATTGAATTTATTGCATGCTTAAATTTTACATCAAACTTGTGTCTTTTTTTTTGTTTTTCTACAATGTTTGTCTGTCTAATGGTGGGATTCAGAACAGAGGACATTCTCCATCCCTGAGAAAATCCCAAACTAAATTCTATTCCATCCTCCATTATCGATTATCCTCTCTTGTTCTTGAAGCTCAAAATTTCCAGAAACATCAGCAGCAAGCAGTACAAGGTTGGATTGGAAGTAAACAGACACGCTTGCCCAGCTACGTCGATCAAACTGTAATATACTTGAGCATAGCTTTGCGAATTTTTTCCATGTACTCCGCAGCTTGTGTCTGCAGGACAGAGATACCATTGATCATACAACTTTTTTTTTTGTAAGAAATTCTAGACATAAGCTGAAGCTAGGAGAAATTTGGCAAAACCTCTAATCTAATCTCACCTGATTGCCCCAATATGCTGTCCCGATGTTTTCATCGAGAAGTGCCAGCAGGGATCGGTTCAACTCATTTTGCTCGACCATGTCCAGAAGCTGTAGGCATGAAAGAAATTGACAATGGCCATAAGTACCAGACAAGAATGGATTATACATGGTATAGGTTAAAAGAATTAGTCACATACGGTAGCATTGACATCTTTTGACGATAAAAGCTTCACCAGGGATGCCCTTGCTTTTACAAGCTCGGATTGCATTTTATCATAAGCTTCTGCAAAAGGATGAACAAGTTGGCCTAACATAAAAGAAAATTTTCAATCTTTCAAACACTTTTTCTAGTAGTAGTAGCCATTAATCCAACCTATTCCTTCCTGGAGGGCTTTTTCAAGTGATTCCAGCTCGATTACTCTGTCCTCGACAGCCTGCATGTATAAAACACAGACACAATTCATGACTCTGGTTGTTCATCCCATCGACACAACAAGCTTAGATATTTTAAGACAAACCTGAGTCTTGGACACTGCAAACCTCAATGTCCCCAATTCAAATTTCAGGTGAGCAAAGAATTCTTCATTTAATCTGCTCAATGCATCATATCAAGGAATAAGATCATGAACATTTATCCAAAGAAGCAAAATTTTATTAACCATATCATATGTACCGAGTAAAGAAACTAACCGTGGTCTCAATCTTGCAATCTCAAATTCAATCTCCTGAGCTTCAGTATCAAGAAAATACTCAACCAAGTCCTCTAAAGTATCCGGCGCCTCCCGCGACTAAAATTCAACATGTAATGACACCAATCAAATCAAAACCCCAGCCAAAATCATGTAACAATTATGGGTACTCAAGATGCTTCCTTAAATCTAAGACAACATAAATCGAAACAAATGCAAACCTCACGAAGAACTCGCCGACGCTCCTTCTCCTCACGGACTTGGCGTTCGAAAGCTTCTCGAGCATCGGCGTCCTTTTCAAGGCGTCTTTTGAATTCTAGCCTCGCGATGTGCCCCGACTTGGGAGGTCCAAGGATGCCTTCCGGATCCTTCCTTCACACATCGAAATATGTCAGGAGATCATACATAGTTTGCTTGTTCGAAGGTCGAGATCATTATCATTATTAATTCAGGAAACAGACGATAATCTAACAGACAGTTAGAGAGTATTCACCCATCCTATGCAGCGAATTTGGGGTTTCTCGTTTCTGGGTCTTGACACTTTGTAGAGGGTGCTCGGAAGAGCAAGACGGAGGCAGAAAGAAGTGGACATGGGTGGCCGTTGCTGGAGATAGCAGCAGCTGCTTATCCGTTCGAAAATTTCTAGGATTGTCATACGAGCCGTTATTTATGTCTGAAATATAGTAAATCTCAGATGGGCCGGGCCATTGATTTTCTAAGCCCAATTATTAGAGTAGTATTCTAAGCCCAATTAGTAGTAGTAGTAAAAGACATATTTGCCCTAACCAAAGAAATTGAATTTTGAGGGTGGATAATCCTAGTAATTTGGGGCTGTATAGTGCATAAATGAAATTTTATACATTGGGTGCCTGGCAAGAAAGTCTGAAGGAGAAGCGAAATCGGCAGGGCATTCTCCGCCTGCTCGCCACCGGAGGTCGACTGAGGAGAGAGATCAGGTTGGTTTTTGTCTATTTCTTCAGGGTAGAATTCCTTTTTTTCTTCCCCAACTCTTCTTCCCTCAACACTCCCTCCGGCCATAGCCCGTACCACTCCGTCACAAAGTCGGTGCGATTCCGGTGAGCTGTTGGTCTAAGCGATACCGGCGTTCCTCCACCTGCACTTCGGCAAGAGCATCTCCAAGGTAATTAATAATCGAATTGTTCTCAATTTGAAAGAGATTTGAAATTTAACTTGACTGGGGAGCGAAGTTTGTATGCCATGAAAGGTAGAGGCACCGCTGAGGTCGTAAAAATGATGTTAATTGGATCGAAGGAAACCCTTATTTATAATTGGGCAAGGTTTTCCATTACTTGGAGAAAACTTGATTGTCGAGAATTTGTAACGAAAATGATTTGTAGTTGTCTGTTTTGGGTTTTATGGATTGTTGGAGGATTATGGCGCAGTAGATATGGATTTTGAACTGGTTGGGACTTAGGTTTTGACAATGTTCCTCGTTGTCTTTTTTTTTTTTTTTTTTTTGTATGTGTGAGAAATACGAAGTTGTTGGAGAAAACATGCTTCTATGGTATTACTTGGTTTGTTTTTGTAAGAATCAACATCATGTTTGGAAGAGATTGTAGTTCATACTTGTATTTCTTCATCATTCTCGATAACTGTTAATTCATCACCCGACATCACGCCCAAAATGTATCTGAATATTTGTTTGAAAAGAAAGAAAAGGGATTTTTATTGTGTTGCTTCATTAATTGAAAAGCGAATATTTGTGCATGTGGATCGAAGGAGATGATCAATATGTGTTGCAGTAATATAGGATGCATTACTTTGATTCTGTAGACTGGGAATCTGAGTTCTTGTATTCAAATCATATCAATTGCATACAATTCATTGTTTTCTATTTACTCAATTTCCGCCATAGTCTAGATCTCAATTTTGGTTTAACGCTTTGAATTGCTGACTAGTGGTCGAACATTTTTCACAAACACATTAAAAAACTAACTAGTAGATCTGATACTTGATAGAATTATCTCATATTCTTATTCTTAGTGCATCCTGCAAATTGCAAAACCCCAGCAGTCACCAGGTCTCACTTATATACACACATATATATATATATTTATATATCTTCCCTGATCTCTCTACTGAGTTCAACAATGGTGTTTTTAGAATTGTATTAACTGTTCTAGGGCTCCATATAGTTTACCTAAACCCTTTTTGGTTTCAGTTTATATATTCTCTTTGTTTCTTGCTTCTAATTCTGTTTAGTACTTTGGTGCCAGTTTGTCTTGGAATGTACTGGAATCTTGCTTGTTTTATTACTTTAGATTTCATTGTTTGACTAGAGATACCAAGCCTCTATTCTCCTTAAAACTGAATGATGCGATGGCTATATATGAGAGAATGCTTTTGTTGTGTGATCCTATAACTCGGCCAAATTGGCAATTTCTGTTTCAAATTTCGTTACACTTTGTTAGCATCATTTTATATGTTCGTAGTATGTATCATGTTTAACTCTGAATTATGTACGTGTGTCCATTATGAATTTGGGTGCTTAATCCAGATCTATTGCAATGGATGGTGCCATTCCACTAGTTTTCAGAGAAGAAGATTAACTTCTTCTCATTTCTTTTATATCTTTGTGGTTTTCTTGATTTCAAAATTCATGAAGGTTCTGCTCATTTTATTCATACACAGCATCTGCTGCCTTGCAAAACCAATTCCTCGTTTAATTTCTGTGTACCTTTTAAGATTCATTATATACTTTGTTATTTTTCCAGTTGAGGAATGGAGGTTGAATGCGACCATTATGATGTTTTGGGGCTGCCATCTGGTGAGGAAGGTGCCAAGCTTTCAGAACAAGAAATAAATAAAGCATATCGATCAAAGGCCAGGGAACTGCATCCAGACAAGAGGCCTGATGATCCCAATGCACATGCTGATTTTCTAAAGCTTAAAACTTCGTATGAAGTTCTCAAAGATGAAAAGGCTAGGAAGCTATTTGATGATCTACTCAGAGTGAAAAGGGAGAAGCTTCTTCGACAAGGACAACAAGATTCAAAGCGCCGAAAAATGATGTCAGATCTTGAAGAAAGGGAGCGATCTGCTTTCACTCAAGTCGATCCCAACTTGAAAGCTAAAGAGGAGGAAGAGAGGATATCTCGTAAACTCAAGGATGAGATAGCTAGAATCCGGGCAATGCATGCTAAGAAAATGCCAACTGCTACAGCACAGTCCAAGGAAGACAGACCAGAAAGGGAAAAAGATAACAAGAATAGCGGAGGCAATGCATTGGATAAGCAAAAGATTCTTAAAGTTTCGTGGGAGAAGACGGGTGGGGATTACACTGCACAGGAACTTCGGGAAATATTTGAGAAATTTGGTACTGTCGAGGATGTAGTCATCAAGAGTACCAAGAAGAAAGGATCAGCACTTGTAGTAATGGCAAATAAAGAAGCAGCTGTATGTTTAGTCGGTTTTCACTTAGTCTTGTGTCTCGTTTTTATACTATAGTCCTTTTCGGTTCTCATGGAAAATGTGATTTTTGCAGGCTGCAACTACCGAGCATGTCTTGGGCGATCTTTCAAATCCTCTTCTAGTTTTGCCTCTCCAACCAGCTACAGCTTCATCGCCGGCTATTTTTGGCGCCGAGAGAAAGGAGGCCGATCATCCGAAATTAGACAATCTGGTTGGTGCTGGATATCAGGCATTTGAAGATTCGGTGCTGGAGAAACTAAAAAAGGTAAAATACTTTCTCATTCTGCCTTTTTGCAAGCAATAAGAAATTCAGTTAGTTTGTGCCCAGAGCTTATGAATTTATTCTTTTTCGCATTTATATGTTTTTTCTTTCCTTTTCGTCGTTTCTTTCTGTTACCAAAACAAAAATCTACCGTGACAGGCTGCTAAGGAGAAAAAGTCAAGTGCCGAAACAGTTTGGGAGATTGATCATTGCATTGAAATCAAAGCATGTCCAGAGAAGTAGAAAATTGGAGTAAATCACATAGCAATCAATGTCTGTTCTAAATATTACCTTAAATTTTTGCAGTCGAAATTGGACAAGGATGGCTGTTTGCAAAACCTTGTCGAGGAACAGATTCAGAGTTAATTCAATCTTGTCCTCTCTTGTAATGTTATTAAGGTAGATCCTTTTGTAAAGTAACAGCTTCTCCATACTCTTAAAACTTTATTTCAGTATTTCTTTCATGATCACCAATTGTCTTGGCTTGTCTTGCAAATGTGATGATCTATCTTGCCAAAGAACAGATATAAACTTTGGTACACATTTGTATATAGTTTGATGCTTGCTGGCCAATATGTTAGTTCATCGGTGGTTCATTAGGGGTGGGCCAAAATACTGGACCGAACCGCCGAATTGCTGAACAGAGCCGAACCGAATCGAATTTTCGGTTAATTGAACAAATTCGGTTCGAATACAAATGCTGTATATTTGATATTTGTTGGGTTCAGTTTCGATTTTTGATATTTTTTTCGGTTCGGTTAATATATTTGTATATTTATATTATTATATTTTAAATTTTATATAAATAAATATATTGGGCCCTGTAATGGGCTGGGCAAAACATAATTTAATTTTTATGGGCCCAATTTAAATAATATACCTTTTTAGTAGTCAATTTGTCTCCATCAAATTACGAAAATTAGATTGAAAGAAATGATCAATTTAGATAGAAATTTTAGAATTTTGAAAATTTTTAGCTATAGTAAAAACTTGAATATTAGATGTGATGTTTTGTAATTTAAAAAATATAATTTGATTCTATTGATGAATAGTGTAAATTTAAAAAATTTGAACATTGAATATGATGTTTTGTGAATGGAAAAATATATTTGATGTAATATTAAAAAAAATTATTACTGATAAATAGTGTCAAAGTTTAAAAGGCATTATTGAATATAATGTTTTTTGAAAAATAAAATAAAATTTGGTGTGATACTTTTTTTTAAAAAATATTGCTATTGATAAATAGTATTAAAGATTTAAAAAATGCATATAAATAGAACTAGCAAAATAATATCAAGATTTTTTCAAAAATACTAGTAAAATATGGGTAAATCGTTTTTGTACTGTTTTCCAATTTTTATCCTTGAAAAGATTAAGACTTTATTCTTTTGTGAGTTTTTCATAAGTTTTTATTATTTATTTTTATTTTTTTAAAAAATATTAAAATAAATAATTACTTTTCATTATTATATTATACTAAAAATATATGTTACATTCAAAATATCAAATCAATATCTATTTATATCGTATCAAATAATTATTCGAATCCAATTTTTTATTATTAAAAAATTCTAACCCACAAACAAACACACCTAAAAAGGGTGTTTGAGTGTGTGTTTAATTTTTTTAAAAAACTTCATATGTTGTCTCAAGAGAAAATTAAGTTACATTTGCTTTTGTTAGAAATTATATATTGTGGGCATATTTATCTACTTTTCCAAGTTATTACAATTATTCGACAAAAAAAAAAAACTAATTGAGAGCGACAATTGATGCAAAATGTTACGTGGAAGTTCTTACAAACTAAATTTGTTTAGACAATACTATCGATGTTCGAATGAAGATATGAATATTTTAGGATTTACTTAACATTTTAATCATTCAAGAACTTACCTTAATTTGAGTAAAATAATTCAACTTGTAGTTTACGAAGAAAAGATTGTTCATATTTAATGATTGTTATAAAAAGAACATTCTTGAAAATATATCTAATCTTTTTACCTATTTAGTCTGAGTTAAACTGAATTAACACTAATCAGAGTGTTTCCATTTGTGTATACACACACATATATATACTTTCTCTGTTTCATATCTATATATCCATTTGCTTTTTGCATGGAGTTATAGAAATGTTAGTATTATATTGAGATAAAGTAGAAATAAAGGTAAAAAGACTAAATTAACCCCATTAGTACTGTATGATATAAAGGTAATGACATTTGTATAATATATTGTAAATCAGAAGGGTATTTGTGATGTTAGGTAGATAGTACAATTACTCAAAAAAGGAAATGGATACTTTGTCATGAGACAGACCAAAATGGAAAAATACTCTAATTTTACGGGATGGACAAAATATTTTATTGGAATTTTATTGTTGATTGTTATTTTATCAAAATAATATGGTAATAATATACTCTCGTCATAAAAATTTCATAATTACATTATAATAAATATTCATCCGAATCAAAGCAAATTACAAAAGGAAAAAGTTAAAAAATAAATAAGGGAACATAAAATAAATAAATAAATAAATAAGATAGAGTAGATGATGGTATTTAGCGATGATTAAAAAAAAAAATCATAATTCAAAATTAATTCAATAAAATCATAAAATACTATAAAAATATTTTAAAAACAATCTTATCCAAAATTAAAATAAATAATAGAGAAAATATATATATATATATATAAATACTTGTAATAAGACCATTATGTTTTTCTTTATCTATATAGATTCAATATAAATGGTAATAGTGAAGAAGATATATATAAATACATACAATCTTAGCTAGTGAAAAAAAAAAAAAATCAAATATATAAACACAAACAACCACATTTTTTATAAACATATGAAGTAGAGACAAAATGCAAATATACAACAATAAATATTTTTATATTGAGACAAATTATTTTTCTTTAACAAAATAAATTCACTCTCAACATCATATTATCAAACAACCAATGAATGATACCTTTTAAATATACAGAAGAAAAAAAAAAATACATTAAAGGTCATCATAATTCAAACCTCAATTTATACCTAAATATATTCATTATCCAATCATTTCATTAAATAAGACAATTATGCCTATTAATTATGAATAATTAAACAAAACAATTTTATCAAAATTTTGGAAACAATAGGAAAAAAAAAAAAAATTCAAGTGTCAAACTTACATTGATGTCTTTTCAATAAGTTAGCCACGTAATACAAAGGTAGGTTAAGGGCAAAATTGTCATTTTCGAAATGAGGGACATGATAGACTTTTCAAGTGGCAGATCCGTATAAACCAATACAAAGGTAGGTTAAGGGCAAAATTGTCATTTTCGAAATGAGGAACATGATAGACTTTTCAAGTGGCAGATCCGTACAATCTCGTGTTTATATGTTATAAAATATAATATGTTATAATATGTTATAAAATATATATATATATATTAATAATACACAAGATTTAGTGGTGTAAGATGATACTTTAATAAATAAAAATAAGAATAAAATTAAACTGATGATGAATGAATCATTTAAATAGAGAGCAAAACTATAAGAGTTACCTTTTATTAAAAAATAAATAAATTAAAATTGTTAAAATGAAATTGAAGTGTGTAATCCTTTTTCAAAAAATGAAAATGAGTAGAATATGGAATGAACAGAAACGGCAACGTGGACATGATATGTGAGACGGAGGGAGTAATTTTTTTTAAAAAAAAAATTTACAAGCCAAACACATCATTTTGATTTTGTGCTATTTTAAATAAATAATACTACCTCCATCCAGCTCCGAAGTACACAATAGATTTTTTTTTATTGATATTTAAATATTAATTATTATATCAAAATGTAGTACAGATAAAATAAAGAGAAAATAATAAAAATACATCGATTAGTCTCTTATAATACAAACATAATGATATTTGTGAATTGAACTATCCAAATATAAAAATATTTTTAACGTTAAACACAATGACACAAAAAAATATGTTTACTTTCCGACTGGACGGAGGTAGTAACATTTTTTAAAAAAATATAACTAAATATTTATATAATATTTTTAAATAAATTTATTATTGCAAATTTCAAATGAAACCGAACTAAAAACACTCAATCCCACAAAATAAGTTACTCCGTCCGTCTCGGCACAAAAATTAAGTAAAATAAATATTTTATTAAAAAAATGACAGATAGTTGAAGATATTTATAAAAATTTAGTTAAAAAAATAAAATAAATGAAAAAAATATAATTAAATTAATAGTATTTGTTGTAAATAAATATTAAATAAAATGTAATAATTAAATATGAATTTGTTAACTTTATAATAAATAAATTTGACGAAGAAGTATATCATAAAATCATCAAAGCATTGATAATAAGACCTCAAGCATCCAAATTTCCACTTTTTAAGAACAAAATGCAATTTCAGTAAATTTCAATAAAAATATGGTATAATTATTTTTTTATTTTTTTTCACAAAACATAAGTCCAAACCACTAATTAAAAAAAAAAAAAAAAAAAAAAAAAAAAAATCAAACCCAAAAGACAGCTTTGAAAAAATATATATATATATATATATAGGGATGCACATCAATTAAGAACAATACTTATTCCTTCAATTGTAAACTACATAAAATTGGTGCATGTAATTTTAAGACTTTAGGGTTGAATAAATTTGGTGCCAATTTTCCTAAATAAAAACAAAAACAAAGGACATTGAAGAATAAGAAGAAGGCACCATTGATGAGGGAGGAGGCTATTCTAACCTTCACCATTCTCAATAAGCTAGAATAACATAACAACGACGACGGCGACGGAGACGGCGACGGAGACGGCGACGGCGACGAAGAAGAAGTGCAAACAATAATAATAACTCTCGACAAAAATAAAAATAAAAAAAAAAATTAATAACCAACCTATATTTCATTGTACACTGATCTGTGGTTCCAAAGATTGAAGATAGAATTAGCTGCTGACTGACCTTGTACATGCAATTCACATGAAGTAGCTCAGGGATTTCTTCCGCCTCGACCCTCCCTCGCCGTACAGTTCGTTCCATTGGAGGAGCTCGTTCATGTTTATGGATTCCGACGAAACACTTGCGCAAACCTAAGCGGGGATGGATCGAGATGTAAGAGTGCGAGTAGTAGTAGTAGTAGTAGCTATTGTTAAGGTTTTTTTGATCGACTTACCCTCTCGTGCGCAAATTTGAAGTCCTCCATCTTCAGTGGGCGGATGTCGCCGCTTCCGCTCAATGCTGGCGCGGGTCTTCCTTCTGCTAGGGCCGCAGCTCGATCCTGTCGTAGACATGCAACGTCAATTAAAAGTTGAATTTCTTGGGAAGGATTAAATTTTGAAAAGAGATGATTACCTTTTTCTCTTTTTCCAAAATCTCTCGAATCGGCTGATGTGCTGCCGTCACACACAGGTTCTGCGACGAAGGGACGTAAAAGGTTTTATGCATACCGATTAAATTTCATTCGTTAATATAATCGACAAAGCATATGCTGACTGTTTCTGACCTTTAGATCACTTCCGGAATACCCGTCCGTCATACTTGCGACCGCCTCGAGATCCACATCGGGGGATAAGTCCTCTTTTGCTAGTATCACTTTGAGGATCTTTGCTCGGTTAGCAGCGTCGGGCAAGTTGACCATTAATCTGTAAATTACACGGTACAAGGTCGGGGTTTTTAAGTTTGGAATTTTAGGAGGTAATGTAATCTTGGTATTGTACCTGCGGGGAAGCCGACGTATCACAGCTTCGTCGAGATCAAAGGGTCTGTTTGTGGCGGCCAGCACGAGTACACGTTCTGTGTCTTTCGTTCGAAGTCCATCCCAATTCACCATGAATTCGTTTTTCATTTTGCGCATGGCTTCGTGTTCTCCCGGGTTTTCTCTCCGCCCAAGCATGCTATCGACCTATGACAAACAACACAAAGTGATTCTCTGGATGATTACTCTCCTGCGAATAAAATTTTACGATTTCGATATTGTAGGATCATGCAGCTATAGTACTGTTAGTATTCAAATCAAAATTTTGTTGGGATCCAGATTCCCTTCCCACCAGTCGTGCTCTGCGGCAATTATATAAAGCCGAGAGTTGATTTCTAGCTGTCTCGTCTACTGGATCTGTATACTATTATCCATTTACAACACCTATCTACTCGACGACTTTCCACTAGATGGCTTCCTACTAATCTTATCTTTTCTATGGCCATAAAATTGTTAGAATTAAAAAAGTTATGATAGGATTGCGATTCTTAGACCACCTGTTCATTGTTCTACAGCTAACCTTGTATATTGCAAAGCACCGTACAAGAGTAGTATTATGATTTCTAATAAATGAGAAGAAGAATGGTAATTAAGAATAATGGTGAATATAGAAATCCACAAGGGATGCAAAGGATGTGCTTGTATATCGACATACCTCATCGACAAATATCACACTGGGAGCAATCTTGCTGGCGAGTGAGAAAACGGCCTTCACAAATTTCTCCCCCTCACCAAACCACTGCAAGTACAGTGATGATGTAAACAAGGATTCAATGAGTTTTATTATTGGGGGGGGAGGGGGTGAATGAAAAAGCAGAAAATAAAAGGAACCTTCGAAGTAATGCTAGACATCGAAATGTTGATGAAGTTTGCATCAGCTTCTGTGGCAACAGCTTTCGCAAGCATCGTCTTTCCTGTCCCAGGAGGACCAAATAATAGTATACCCTTGCAAGGCTGCAAGAAAAACAACACACTTAAGAAAAGCTAACCAAATATGTGGAAAAATTATCTTGAGCATCAACCTCTAAATTAAAGGAATAAATGTATGTCCAACACGAAAGGTATAACGTATAAACAAACATGAAAAGCCAGTATCATATGCAGATCTATTTTTATATCCGGAAGATCAAATACAGGTAAAAACAGGCACTTTTGACAACTGAAAAATAATTAATAAAACTCAAAAGCATGAAAGAAGAAAACTCTACCTATATATTAGAATTAAAAAAAAAAATCAGAAATCCAAATTGAAAGAGTAACCTTGGTTAGTTGACCCTTGCAAAAAAGTTCTGGCCTCTGTAAGGGAAGCATCACCAACTCTTTCAATGTATCTTTGACATTTTCTAGTGCTCCTATGTCATCAAAAGTTACACCAATATCACTGGGAGGAATTACATCTGCTAGAAGCCTCTTCTCGAATTCATTCTCAGTCACGACATCCTGAGAAAGGTGCAAAAATAATTTCAATGTCTTGCAATTAGTCAAACACAAACAACTGATCCTAATTGATGGAGTTTTAAGGGTTATTGTCGAATGCCAAGCCATGGAAAATAACCTTTAAGGACTTCTTTAGGCTCTTGGATTCATTCTGAATGGCATTTAGAATTTCAATGCCATATTGAATGCTGCAAGAATAGTCCCATCTGAGTTAGTTATAGTCAATAAAAATTTTCATCCAGTAGTATCATCATCACTGGCGAGTTATATTTACCTCTCTTTTGACAAAACAAGCCTGGAATCAGGTTCAGCTTCGGAGTTTTCCATAACATGATTACTCAAGGCCCACCCAACCACCTTTTCAGCACCTGCAGAATACATCAAATACAACAAGTTCCATTTTCCCATTATTTAATAGGGAAAACTTTTCCGCAACCTCAGTTATTACAAAACAAGGGCAGCGAAAGAAATGTTTACCATCATTTGTAAGTGTCTGATCTTTAATGTTCAAAGACTCGAGTCCATCACACTCCAATCTGTTACGATTCAGAACCTGCAACCACATGTGACATGATACTTCAAATGGATAGCTGGCATTAGTATATTCAAGGTACTCATTATCTAATCTGAAAGTAAAAAATGAGATATAAATAGATGAGGTGTCAACCACAAAAACATGCAACAAGGTATCTATTTGCCAAGCGCCAACATGGTACATGGGTGATTGTTGTAATTTAGAAGAAATTGTTAATATAAATGTAGGATGTATAGGTCTTAGTATGGAACAGTGAAGTCAGGCATACAGTTTTTGGTGAGACAGTATAAAGTACAGCATGATGCAATTGATTACGCAGATACTGCACTGTAAAATACAAGCTCCATGCTCAGATGCATATTAACAAAGAGAAACAATGCAAGAAAAATATTAGCTGATGAAAGAAGCACTTACATTTCGCAAATTATAAAGATTTGCTTTCAATTTAAGGGTCTCAGCATCTCGGTCCAACTGCTGCTTCCAACTGACCAGCAGAGCTTCATCCTGTAATGCTCGTTAGGATGGGTACACCTTGAAAGATCAAAAATACATAAATAAGCAACCCCACATGGAGATGTCAAGAACTGACCTGAGGCATGTGAATCATCACTTTGTTGGGAAAAAGTTTGGATAGAAGCTTAGCTGCCTTAGTGACATCCTTAGTTCTATCATGCAACCTCCCAAAGCTATCCTGAGAAAATTAAAGTAAAATCACATTAGGAATTGAAAGTAAGGTACAAAATTAGCCAAGTATGGCATGAAAACCTTGGTACAAAAAACACAAGAAGATGTCATAACTTCCCAAACAGGAGCAACGAGGCAAAACTTGTTACAATAAAACAAGTAAAACTGGGGCACACATCTAGTGTATCTGCTAGAAAACAGACCACAATGAAAACTGCACCATATAGAGCAACCATGACAATAAGATAATTTCTCTTCACAAAGAAGGTGTTTCAAGGCACTTAAACTACTTCTCTATGTGCGGATATGTTATTTATTTTTATTCTTTCTGTAATTGACTCTAGAAACTCCAAACTACCACTAGATTAAGATGAAACCACCACAAGTCCCATGCATATAAGAATAGGTACTTGAGAAGTTAAGAAAATAATTGTGTCAAATAAGTGGAAAATGAAGGACACACTGTCACGTAACTCCATATTATCCATTTGCTTGAAGCCCAAAACATGGTCATAATGCCAATAGATATGTAAGACGATATTCTTACAGGGAAAGCCAAATCAAGTAGAGCAGTCTGGTTGCCACCAAACTTTGTGAAAAGCAAACTTCCAGGATGAGACTGCATGACAAAAATTTTATCACTTAATGTATTTCATATCATTTTTTTCTAAGATTATAAAGGCAAACCAAAAATATACCACTAATATTTAATGGCCCACGTGAATCAAATGAATCTGACAGTTTTACCTTTTCCTTTCGGCTGTCACTCTGGGTGTGTGATCCAATAACAACAACATTATCAGGAAGCTTCTCCAGTTTGCTCTTAAAAATATTATATGACTCTGTATTTCCTGCCATCGACTTCTCAGCATCTTTCATGAACAAAATGAAAGGGGAACTTCGGCTTTCGTTATATACAGTCTAGAAATGAAATTTTCTATTAATTAGTATCGGATGAAAATGTAGCACACGCAACAGAAATTTTTAACACAGTATAGTCAAATTGGCACCTCAAACATTGTGTTAATCAGTAACTTCTCCAGATCCTCCACCCCAGAACTGTCCGCACGAAGTTCAGTCGCTAAAGACAGATAAATTAGAATGTGTGAGAAGTAATCTATGAGCTGTACAACATAGTTAAACATAGAACAATAAATTCATGGTAAAGCAGGACATCACCATTGCAGAAGAACCCATGTCCACTTTCACATAGACCTCCAAAATCAACACCCTCAGGTATGGGTTTGTCAAACCTTACACCAATTTTTGATAGAGGATTATCTTCAAATGGCAAAAGAACCTTCCCGCGCAGACCGACAGTTGGACCCCTACTAATGATCCGGCTAAACAAGTGTTATCTCATAACATAGCAAGGCAAAATCAAAATGAACCAAAACATTTTCCAACAAGAAAAATGAAAGCTGACAAGTAGGGAAGAATAGGAAATGAAAACTACATGAGACACATATAGGTACTTTTTTAAAAAAGTAAAATAAAATAGAGGTAGTGCTAAACCCTAGTTTAATATAACATAATCCAGCCATCTAGAAAAGGTAAGTGTTAATAAGAACTCAATTGTAGTCGAACTCAAAATATATGGCCTCCATTTTTTTCGGCCATGTGAGAACTCATTTTCTGAGTCCTTTAAATCAATGTTCTCAATAATATAACCTACACATTATTTTGTTGCTTATATATGATATAAGAGAGATGGAGCAGTGATTTTTTAAGAATATATATCTTACACCCCACAAAAACAACCAAAACACATACTTAATAGCCTATAATGAAAACAAAACAAAACTAGGGGTGAGTATATTGGTTATATTTTCAGTGTAAATAGATCATAGAATTTTAGTTGCAGAAGTGAATGGAAACAAAAATGAAGTAGCAAATAAGGCTATCCAGCAAGCTCGACTCAGCACATATCATATCAATTTCATGCAAGAGATACAATCCATTACCTAAAAGACTATGTGAAATGTTCAATGCTCGGAATAGGATAATAAGGTGTGTAACATATTATATCAAGAATCTACAATTAGAGAAGAGTCCTGAATTGTAGGAGACCAAAGAACTAAAAAGCAAAAGGGACAATAAGGTTAAACAATAATGTGGCTTTTTTTTTGTTGAAGTTGTAACAATAATAAAAATCGGTAAGGACCATATTGAACAAATAACTTAGTGGCTAGAAAACATAAGAGCAAAGAGAAACAAATAAAAGAAGGATCTAAAATAAAATCTAACACTGCCAATATCGGCATACATCCCACTTATGTAGTAAAGAGGATCACGACGAAAGGATATCCAATCTATTGTATAGTGTTAAGAGCCCAGATTATTGCATATACCGATTTTTTTGTATCACATAAATCTGAAAAGAAAGACAAATCAATATTACCTGGACGAACTTGAATATAAACCCCCTGTTGCGGAACCCACAAATTTTACTCTATCACCTAAGAAATGGAACATGGAGGGAGTCAAGGTAAACTAAAGGCATCACAAAGGCACGAGTAGGCAGTAAGAAGATAACAACAATTACTTACCATATTTGAATGAAGTGTTCTTAGATGCAGCAATTGCAGGGGAGGCAACATTCTCTGCTTCCAATTTTGTCAGCCACTCAGCACAAAGGGGAACCAATGAATTAGGGGCATCCACATCACCTGAAGAAGGTCCTAGGTCCTTAGCAAGTTCAGTGGAGATGGAAGCCTGTTTCCCAGTCTTGCCTGCTTTTTCTGCATTCTGTCCCTCCCTTGTGAGTTCAGCATCTTTTGAAGAACCCTAAAACAAAAGATAGAACTAGAATGTTAGAAACAAGTAGTCTATTCACTATAATATAAACAAAAATAATTAGTGTAGAATCCATGTAGTGAGAAAAAACATCCAATAATAAAACATATGTAGTATAACACATTTTCAGTGGAATTACTTTAGACATCCAGTTCAGTTTTCTACTTCTGCCATTGAGAAACTGAGAATAGTTATGAATTTACTTGCTTCTCAAAAAATGAAAAATAAAATAAATGCATGTGCAAGATCAGATGGTGAAATAAACTATTTTCCTAAGCATATTTTTATGAATGGTGCATGCATGCAGTGATGCTCTTTAATTTTGTCAGTTTCAGCTTGTGTCTTAGAATTTGCTTCAATACAATAAGAAAAGAACCAATAGAATGAAAACTGGAAGAACAATTTTAAATAGTCCTTCCAGAACATCTCAGTTTAATCTTACTCCAAGAAATAGATGGCTGTCGAATACAAGTAATTTGGCCCCAAAATGTTGGGCAAGAGCTTTTGCTAACATCTCCTGGTAAATGTCAGAACCTGAAAATGCAAATATAAACACAAAGTTAACTTTGATACATACTCAAAACTAAGCACATGAAGAACAATTGCACTATAACAAAACAATACTATAAAACAAAATAAAAATAAAAACCCAACCTGCAGGACCAGAAAGCAATATTCTTGGATTTAGTGTAGGAAACTGGGATGTCAATTTTCCTTGATCTTTGTGCTTCAATTGTATATATGAAGCTGCAATTAGCACATTTTTTGTGCTCTCACTGCAATTTCAGAGAATAAAGGTACTTATAACGTCTTCAGAAATTGTATCATTACAAAATGTATGGGTACCAGAGAATCAGTAAGAAGAAGAGTAAAGGAATCGGCACAGAATTGTAATTAATTTTTTTAATCAAAAGATGCATTTTCAAATGAAGAAATTTTTTAATCCTTCAAAGGAATCATGCACTGTGCAACAAATGCTGGTTAATATACCTCAAGTAGTATGGGAAATTTTCAAATGAAACTTCTAGGTTTCGGCCATCTAGAATTGCTGCAACTAGGTCCTCCCTAAAAGCTGAAGCTTTTGAGGATATCGTCCCTGATGGAGTCACTGGAATTGGATCCCTAACCCAATCTCTATCTTCCTATTTACAACAAAGATTTGTTTATTCCCAAGTTAAGGAGATCATATAGTATGACTTAGCAATGAGACAGAAATATTTCAAGATATATGTGTTACTTGCCTGTAAGGCTGACTCTACACCTCCATCAACAGGAAGGGCCTTGCTTCCAGTCGCGATATCTGCAGCTGATTCAATATCCAGATTTTTAGCAGAATTAACTTCTTGTCCATCCAAATCATCTTCATTAGGAACTGGTGGTGAAGGAATATCACTTCCTAGGTAAATTTTACTACTGGCATGAGATGTAGGTTTAAAATGTGATAAATCTAGTCGTGGGCTGGAAAGCGAGGCCAAAATAGAAGCACCAGTTACAGCCGATGAATCTCCTTTTCGCCTCTCATAACGTATCAACTTTCCTAAGTTGGTTTGAACATCTGGAGGTGCAGATGACTTGAACTGCTGGAAAATCTGCATTAATAGGTGTTAAGGATTTTCGACTAATCAGATAGGAGAGAAAAGCTCTAATTTATAATAGTACAGATATCACAAGGATACATATGAATGGTTCCCAATAAAGCCGAAAACGAGCTCATCCCCTGAATTTAGATCATAACTAGTATTTTTCTTGATTGTTTTTCCGTTTACTTGTACACATCCTTTGCTCCCACGACTTTCAAGCACTGCAACAGATTTGTTGTCACGCTGATCATTTACCACAGAAAAAAAGAAAATGTTAAGAAGTCGCAGAATCAAAATCAGAATTAGTCTGCAAAAAAATATAGCATGAACTTTTTAACAAGTGATAGAATAGAAAATGGCTTCAGCTAACAATTTAATTCCCAGATCAGAGACTAAAGAAAATTCTAAATTCTTACAATCAAATTCTGTGGAACCAGAATTAGAGCTATGATAACAGTTAGGTGACTTCATGGGTGGCTTGGAGAAACCTTACTAAGTTAGTATCCAATAGGACCAGAACCAATCAATGGTACTCATTTGATTAAATTTTATGCAATCCATGTCCTACATCAACAAAGGATTGATAATGAAATATATAAATTCAAGTCTCCTTCGCAGCATTTTCTTTATTCTAAAACCTCCTTCATAGATCAGTCCAGCAGCTTCTGTATATTGTAACAAGACAAGGGTGCATTTCTATCGCAAAGCAGAATAAAAACAGCTAACGTGGGAAGAGTTAAAATACAACAAATACCTGAACGAGCCTAATTGAACACAAGGTAGCAGATTGATCACGGATGAAAAGATTAGCATGCTTGCTTGAGCCCACTAAGAAATTGGTTGTCTGCACTGGAACGCTTTGATTCTGCAGAATGATACATTGCATTTCATGATATATATAGGCTAATTTCCCCCAAAAGAACTGAATAATGAAAAACACAAAAGAACGACAAAAGCCAACAGTTCCCAACAACAAAAAATTGAGCCAGAGCTAATGCAATGCTCTAAAACTCCAATTCACAGCATCATCAATCAATTTTGAAGTCGATAAAGCAAACGAAGATGTACTCACCAATGGGGATTCCGCGATAAGCCTACACCACGGAGTGCTTGTATCAAGACCAGGATAATGCTTCCGCGAACTTAAAGTGTTCGTCGGCTTTTCCGCAGCTGGCGCAACCCCTAAAATTCAATTTCCAAAAAAGAATCACAAACATTTCCACAAAATTCCCGCAGTCCCCCAAACGAAGCAATCACACATCAAAAATCCCCAAATTAACACAGCTAAACATCGACCACACCAACCTTCGGCGGCAATTGGAGTCGTCACAGACGCGGACGCCGCCCCGGCGGCGGAAGCAGGAAGCTCCGGCTGATCGTCACAGCTGGCCTCCTTCGGATTCTTCGCCGGCAACGCCTCGGATGCGTTGGAATCTCCATTATTCGCATTTTTAGCATTGCTGCTCTCCCCCTGACCAATACAGCCACAAAACCAAATCAGAAAACGCAACGAAATCGATCGACAATCGAGCAAACACAAAAACAAAATAAACAAAGGCGTTTGCAGAAGCGAGTGAAGGAGAGCTTGCCTTCTGACGCTTGGGGGAAGACGGCTTGTTGTTGTCGTCGTCCGACGGCGAGGACGATCGCTTGTTGTTGTTGGACGGCAGAGATCCACTTCGCCTCGTCGACACCATTTCTCTGCTGCTCTGCTCCTTCTCGATTGATGATATGCTTTTACAGAGAGGATTTTTATTTTTATTTTATATATTTTGGCGTATTCATAATAAAATAGATTTATATATATATATTGTACACAGGCAGGCGAAAAGTCTTGGGGGTCAAAATAGTAATAGGGATTTTTGTTGGGGCAGAACTAAAGTATTTGGAAGTTTCCAGAGTATGTGAAGTCTATTTTTGTAATTTTCGAAGTTTTGTTCTATTTTTTTGGTTTGAATTACGCTTTGGATTGTGATATTTTGTAATAACAAATTATATATTTTTATAGTAACTGTAATAATTTTGTATAATATAAAATCCAAAATTTTAAAATTATTTTATAAATATAGTTTTTTACAAAATATTATATTCAAATTATTATTTAAGAAATTAAATTTTAAAATCAAATCCAAAAGAAAGATTCACTTAAATACTTTCGATTTACAAATAAAAATATCTCATTAAATAATTATTATTTTTTTATAAAATACTATATCAAATAATAATTTTTTTACTATTTCTAAACATTTTCAAAATTTCAAAACTTCAAAAATACATTATCCGGCTCTAAAGATCTCATTTATTTTTTACATGTTAATTTTTTAATATTAATTATTATATGAAAATATAGTGCAAATTAAGGAAAAATGACAAAAAATACTTCTATCAGTGTCTTATAATATTATTATAATGACTTTGTAAAAAAATTATACAAATATAAGAATATTTTTAATATTAAATACAATGACGTAAAAGATAAATAAGACCTTAGAATCGGATGATGTAGGAGTATATTTAAATAAGGCCAAAAACTTATGAATTATTATTATTATTATTATATGTATTCATGAAATCATCAATTAATTTATTTATATATAATAGTAAATATGTAATTTTATTAATGCTTTTTTAAAATTAAATTATATTGAAATAATTTTAAAATTATAATATGGTTTGGATTGTTATATTGGAATTCTTATTTGACTTTCTTTTATTTATTTATTATTTTGGAATGACCTTTAATTATATTATAAATTTGATAGCAATGGAAATAAGGTGTATTAATTAAAATGGAATAATTTATTTATTGTGTCTTTTAAAGAAAAAGAAGTATACTAATTATGATATGTATACAAGGCATGTGTAATTGTTTACCTACTATGTACAAATAAATATTCCTTTCCTTTCGTCCCAAAAAGAGTTGTCTTATTTTTCCATTTTTATTCGTCTCAAAACAATAGTTTCATTTACTTCGTGATTTTCATTTTATAACAAAATTATCCCTACTTTTCCAAACTATTCCTAATTATTACTCAACAGTAAAGTATTTTAGTCATTTACATTCTACTTTATACTCATTTTCAATTAAATACTATTATTTATTAATTATAATGCCAACATCCAATAAGACGTCTCTTTTGAAACGGAAGGAGTATATAAATATACTTTATTTTATTTATGTTATATATGTATTACTCTCTATTTCTACTCATAATATATATATATATATTTCTATTTTAATTGTACAATTATAAAATAATTATTTTTTAAAATAATTCTAAACTCTTTTTTTTTTTTACAAATAGCTTTATTTTATGATTATATCATTACTTTTATTTAAAAACAAAATAATAATGATAAAATTATTTTTACGTTATTTTTAACTGTTTATTATAATTAAAATATTGTTACTTTCGTCCGGTTTCAAATTTTTTATTTATTGTTGATCTTTGAATATTAATTATTATATCAAAATATAATAGAAATTAAGAAAAAATTACAAAAAATACTTTGATTAATGTCTTATAATACTAATAGAAAAACATTTGTATAAAAACAAAAGGTAAATGAATTATTTTGTAGATTTTAATAGAATCTTTAATTATTAAGTTACTTTTTTAAAAAAATAAAATGATAGTGAAAATAATAGATATAAAAAGATAATTGATATAATTTTTAATAGTATATTTATATGGTGAGTGTTTTTTAAAATTAGTGTATTTTATAAAATTTTAATAATATCGTAAGAATTTTTAGGGTGTTTAATTTGTGTTTTTTATGTTAAAAATGAGAAATAATACACTCATTAGATGATTCTATTTTTTTTTATATGGTATGAAGAACTATATAGTAATATAAAAAATAAATTTGTTTTGGTTAAATAATTTGATTTTTTATTAGTGGATAATATATTATATATATATATATATATTAATATGTGTATTTTTATATTTTTTTAATAATATTTATAAAGAATTGTTAAAAATATTATTGAACATACTGAATGTTAATAATATAAGGATAAATTTTTGTAATAAATTATTGCATATTTATAATGTTTATTGAAAATTGTATCACACAAAATAATGATTGAAAGAACTTAAAAAATTATTTTAAAGTAAAAAAAGCTAGGCATGTTTGTTTGGTTTGTGAAATTATTTGAAGAGATTTTTTTTTTTTTTTTTAATACTTCATCCATTTCAAAACTATGGTCTTATTTGGATTTGACATAAGATTTAAGAAATATTGATAGTTGGTAAAAATTAACGAGTAAAATAATTTTATTTTATTTTTTTTGCTAAAATCTAATAGCAGTTGTGTAATAATAATAAAAAATAAGAATAATTTTATAGTGATATAAATATTTATAAAAATAATACTTGTTAAGCACAAAAAATAATAATAATAGTAAGTGGCAGTAGGATTCTGGGTAGGGTCTGAATGAAAGCCAAAAGGTCTGGAGGTCGGGCAGAATAAAGGTCGGGAAAAGGAAGAAAGGTAAGATCTCAAGAATTGATCCAAATCCAGACTCAGGTACTACCAAGAGATGGTTGTCCGTGATCAGCAGTTCGGGCTGTATTCAGGTCGGGCGGAGTCTAAAAAAAAGGTGTACCCAAGTCGGGTAAACCGTAGATCGGGTGAAAGGCGAAGTCGGGCAGACGCGGAGGTCTGTCAAGAGGAAGGTCGGGTAAGGAAGATGTACGGACAGACGCGGAGGTCTTCAGTCAAAGACGGAGGGCGGCTGATGCGGAGGTCGGCCAAGTGAGGTCGGGCGAAGAAACAGGTCGGGCGAAGGACGAAGTCGGGCAAAAGAAATTTGGCAGTGGACAGGCAGGTCGGGTAAGAGGCAGGTCTGAGTTCTGTGACTGGTGGGAACGGTTGAAGGAAGTTGTAATACGTGTCAATAGAGGAGAAATTGGTGGTCGGTTGACAGCGGTTGCTGTAACCGACCAGACGGCGGTTCAAACCGTTTTCTCTGAAAGGCTATTTTAAAGGATTCAAATCCGTCAGAAAAGGCATCTTCAATCAACTTCAACAAAGCAAAGTCAGATTTGGGGATCACCACTTTAAATTTCAGTCTTTTATTTTCCAGTTTATTTTCTGTACCATACAGTGTTTAGAGATTCCTAATCTCAGGCACTAATTAATCAAATTTAAGGATATTTTCTATATCTTTGAATTTTACTTTATTTTTGTTGAAAAAAATACATCAACAAATTGGCGACCACAGTGGGAGAAAGGCAAGATTGCTGATCCTACATCAATACAAAATGTCATACAACTGAGGTCTGGCCGAATCATCAGAAAAATCAATATGGCAGGCACACAACCTCAATCATCATCAGCACCGGTGGGAGAGAATGTTTCACCACCAGTCATGCCAAATCCAGGGGAGATTCCCCCACCACCTACCGATTGGTTGTCTTATGTTCAACAAATGAACAACCAGCAAACGTTGGTTATGCAGAACATGTTGCATGAGCAACAAATGAACATGTTGCGTGAACAACAAAATCTAATACAGAACATGGTGGATCAGGCATTCTCCAGATTCACCCTGTATCCAAACATGCTTCCAGCCGTGTCACCTGCTCGTTTTCAGGCGATTTTTCCAAGATCAACGTTTGCAGGGCCAACGTACGTTGACAGTACGTCTCCAAGCGTCACAACTTTCAACCAAATAGATATGGGGGAGATTCCTCTAACTTTCCCAGATAATGTTCCTTTGGGACCGAGGGTTGATAATACCCAGCCGAATGAGAGATTAGGAGGACAGACTCATAATCCCATTCCAACCGAACCAGCCTTCTCTAGAGAAGAAAGGTTGGAGGGACAGACTCATAATCCCATCCCAGCCGAACCAGCCTTCTCCAGAGAAGAAAGATTGGGAGGTCAGACTCACGATCACCACATTCCAGTGTTCGACCATATTCCACCCAAGGGACAGACTCATAATCCCATCCCAGCCGAACCAGCCTTCTCCAGAGAAGAAAGATTGGGAGGTCAGACTCACGATCACATTCCAGTGTTCGACCATATTCCACCCAAGGGACAGACTCATAATCCCATCCCAGCCGAACCAGCCTTCTCCAGAGAAGAAAGATTGGGAGGTCAGACTCACGATCACATTCCAGTGTTCGATCAGATTCCACCCAGAGTAGATCCGGAGGATATTGCTCAAGTTCTGCGGGTGCATTTCGGAATGAATCCGCAAACGGTGAACAGGCCGGTTTACCAGAGGCCATTTCCAGAAAGGATCATTAACGATCATCCTCTCCCGAGAAATTATAGGCCACCAGACTTCTATTCTTTTTCGGGAGAAGACGGAGCCTCTACCATTGAGCATGTGGGTCGCTTCACGGCTCAATTGGGAGAAGTGGGCAACAATCCGTTTCACAAGTTACAATTGTTTGGGTTGTCGCTCACAAGAACAGCTTTTTCTTGGTATGTCAGTATGCCGCCTGGACAGTTGCAAACTTGGGAAGATTTAAAGGCAGATTTTCATGGAAGGTTCTTTAATCCTCTGCCGACAGTCTCACTGTTAGACCTTCTGGAGATCACGCAGATGCCGGAAGAGACCGGCTACCAATTCATAGAGAGGATGCGATTGATGAAGGGACGATGTCCTACGATGATCAATGAAAGCGAAATGACCAATTTGGTGGTCAGGAACATGCATACCAGACTTCGCGAGGCCCTGACAGCCCACGACTTTCAAGATCTGGCCAGTTTAGCATCCACGGCAAGAAGGTTAGAATCCTTT